TGCACCAACCCTTTAAGTAGACAATAACTGGAGTAAATAGTAGAGTAATTCAGAGTCAGATAACATCCAGACCCCCTAGTTTTACCCATGGTTATGCAAACTAGCCCCTGTAGAGCCCTGTTTTAATAACGTAGAATTTTATATGTGTCCAGCATCAAACCCAGGGAAAGGGTATTGCAATTACCCTAGGGAGTATTTCTGTAGGTACTGAGAGTGCAAAACAATAGCCTCAAACTGGCAAACAGCAGGAGATAAAATTACAATAGTAAAAAGAAATTTGAAGGCAGCACACCTAATGCTGATCAAAGCCAAATATGAAACTCTCCCTAGAAATCCTGAAATAGGAGAGACTTTGATTCTAGCCCACCAAGAAGTAAAACGATTTGATGAACAAAATGATAAAAGAGAAAATGGGCAAATGTGAAAAACTGCATTGACTTGTTTGTTCATCAAAAGTATGAAATTAGGATAAAAGGGTGGGGGGGGGGGGGTCGGGGCATGGAATTTGCAGGCTTGGGCAAGGCTGGTAACCGCAAACAAAGATTGTGAAAGATCTTGCAAGACTTGCTGGAACTGATAACCCCAGAGGAAGGAGGCCCATCACCCCCACTTGTGAAACCCATTGTTGCTGGAACTGATAACCGCAGCAGAAGGAGACCCATCACCCCCACTTGTGCTGGATAAAAAGGGACTAAAGAGAAGGAAGGTTGTCAGCTTTTGGCGGAACACTGATTCCCCAGCTGCATCCAGCGCTGTTTTCTTGCTATCACTTGCTGTAATTAATAAAATTATTAATTGATCTTAAAAGGCTGAATCAAATTATTTGCCTCAATTTATAACAATTCCAACATTAAGTATAAAATTTGGAACTGCATGAAGCTATTGAAAAGGAGCTTCAATGGTAAAAGACTGTTTTAAAAATTGCTTTCATACAGAATGAACACTTTTTCTGTGCACTGCCATCCTGCAAACTATTCTCCCCCAAGTTATATGCTCCCTAATGAACTTCTCAGTCTCAATTTAACAGCACGTTTTACATTGAAGAGGTCCTTAATTTAATGTGCAGTCAGAGGAGCATTGCAAAACAAGGCACTATAAATAGAAGGAAGAGGACAGCACCCAGCCCTACAGCCAACACCATTTAATCAGGGTTTGCAGTGCAGGCACATCTGGTTAAGTCTCACAGTGCACTTCAAACTACTATGTAGTTTTCATCAGTCTTTCTTGGAAAGATGATTCCATGATAGCATAACATAGTTTATTTATTGCCTTCAAGCTGCTTACTTATTCTAGAAACTGAATACCTTGTAGAATAATCACTAAAATTTTCCTTTCAAAGCACAGAACATATTTCTCTGCTCCCTGCCTGACTGTTCTGTGATGAAAAACAGATGGTATTTGTTCATTTGTCAAATTCAACTAAATCTCCCTCTCTGCAAACAAACAAAACACTCTTCTGGAATGGCTTGGTTGATTGCTGTCATTAACACACCTCTCTAGGAAGTGGTAATTATCCAGCAATTGACTCACTGACCTCGTGCCCACAGCTACTCATTCCTTCTCCTCTTCACTATGCCTTAAATGCCGCCTTATCATCATTGCCTTGACTTAACCACTCCTGTCTCCCTCCTTGTGCTTTCCCTGTCTTCATGCACTCTCACCAGTAGAACTAGGAACTTCAAAAGGGCTGGAAAGATAAAAGACTCAGACTGTTCAACTATAGGACATTAAATATTTACATTATTTTCAAATTAAGTGCATAGTCTAGCACATCAAAGCTCAGAATAGTCCATGTAATTTTTTTAAAGGTAGTGACTTTAATATGGTGAAGACTTTGTTCTTTGCTTTTAAAAATAATAAAAAAAAAGAGGTAAGAAAAAAGAAGAAAGAGGAACAAAGAAAAGAGAAATAAATGAAAAAGGAAAAAGGGGAAAGCAGAAAAATGAAAGGGTAAAATAAAATAAAAAGGGTTATGCCTTTTTTAATGTTCAGCTCTTTATTAAAAAGATCAGCTGGGCAGGGGGTCTGACATGGCAATCACCCCCACTGTTGTAGTTTTTCCAGGTAGCAAAGAGTGAGGAGGCGTGCAGAATCTATTGCTGAAGTCCAGAAGCAGCTGTCGCCTCTCCTTTCCTTGTGGTAACACCAGGAAAAATCTTGTCTCTTTGTTCCTGATTTCCCCAGCCCACTCTAGTCTAATCTTCTGTAGGTTATGGTGACAGATCAAACGTCGATCGGGGGATTTGTTTTACTCTTCCTCAGCCAGCGTATTGTACCTGTCCAGCCCCTTCAGCTGTGTTTAGTTCTTCATTTAGGGGGTGTCCTTATGCCCTGAAACACGTGCCCATGGTTCCATGGGTTTCCCTATTTGCATCTCAGTCCTAGAATGGCAGCGTGGGTGGGGTGGGGGGGGGGGGGGGGGGGGGGGGGGGGGGGGGGGGGGGGGGGGGGGGGGGGGGGGGGGGGGGGGGGGGGGGGGGGGGGTAGGTGATCTTCCAGGTAGTTTAGAGAAAACAAACAGAGCAATTAGCTAATTAACATTTCAGTATTAGTACTCAGCTCAAGCCAGCAGTGTCCCAGTATTGCCATGGGAACCAGGAAGGCTCTTTTGTTCAATACAGTGAGTTAATAATTTTCTGTTCCTTCTATGATCATCAACAGGGAAATCGAGGGGAATGAAATCTAATGGACAAACTTTAGATTTTAAATTAATGCAACCTTCCTGGGAAAGAGCACTTAAGTAAAAAAAGAGACAAAATAACCCTAAACTCTTTCAGATAGTTATGTATGAGAAGTACTGAAGAAAAAGGATTTACCTATGCCTGGACATGCAGTTGCATTTATTTAATATGAGTAAGTGTAAGCTCGTGATTAAACACTTTTATGAATTTTAGCCAGTAAATTCAATTCTGCAGAATCCTGAGCACTCTTCCACTAGTATCAACATGTCCATGAAGTTTTCAAATAAAGCTTCCTATTTCCATCATTCTTCTAAACATCATACACATTTGTTCGCATCATATGCATAATGTTCAGAGTTAATGCTTTCTTAAACTGAAAATCTTTACTAATTTAAAGAGTCAATTTCTACTAATGCACTATTTCAAGAAAAGTCAATAAAAATACTATCTCAGCAACCACATGAGTTAATGCAGGTACATCTGAAGGTCTTGCAATACTCTCCTTTTATATCATCCATGTCTTTTATTAGGACACAACGTCAAGTTTAGTGTCAGGTGTAGGTAGCTGGGTGAGGAGGGAGGGAAGAGCAGCAATTCTCCATCCCCCTGACACCACCCAAGCCCCTTGGGGCACCAGCTGGGGTAGTTGGCAGGAAGGCAGCTGCTCCACCTTCCTGCCTTCTACCTGGTGGCTTCAAGAGGAGAAGCTGACATATCCATTGTGCAAACAAATTGTAATAAAAAACCCCAACAAATCACAGAACTGGTCAGTACAAACCAGCATTTTCTAGCAGATAATCAAGATGTGATTCACCTGAAGGAAGCCAGTCATTTGCATCTGATAATTGGCACTGGCTGGCTGAGTGGTCAGGGAAAGGAAGAGAAGGAGGAGGAAGAGGAGGATGACAAGAAAAGCATTTCTGTTCTAGTTCTGTTCTGTTCTAGTTCTTGTAAAATGCAGAACTGGGGTAGGTTAGCTCAACAGCACTTTCAAGGTGCCACTTTTCTCTGTCAGCTGCAAAAACCATGTTAAGGTGGCATGACCAGAGGAAGTTTCCTCTCATTGAAGCTGTAGTGAAATTATTTGATTGTGTACTTTGCTTTATTTGTTGTGATCAATGCAGTACAAATTTTCCTTTGACTCTTCCCTCTGCCTCACTACTTCTAAACACATTTGTATCAACAATAGTGTTGACACAGGCCTAATTACCAGTGACATACATTAAAAGCTGCAACCACAAAAGAAGCTTAGAAATGAAGAGCAGGCATTTCAAACTGAACCTGGCTATGAATGAACTTTGCAAAAAAACCCAACAAATCACATAAAAAACCCACACTGAAGAATTGCAGCCATGCAGGATGGTGTATTTAAAAGAAGTGTAGGTGTGGCATTTGGGGACAAGGTTTAGTGGTAGGCTTGGCAGTGCTGATTTAATGGTTGGTCTTAGAGGTATTTTCCAGCCTCAGTGATTCTTTGATGCTCTGTGTTCACAAGGCATCTCTGCACTCCAGAGGCTGAACAGCAGAACCCACCACATCCTGGAGTGCAGCAGAGCTTAGAGAGAAACTTCCTTGGAAGGGTTTCTTGGGGCAGATCTGATATTGGACAGCAAATATACAGAGCAAAACACAGGTTTTGCCTCTACACAGAAAGCACTTTTTTTCCCAAATGAATGTAGAAAAATGTGGTTACAATAAAGAAAAACAAGTAAACAAGGGCTATTAGTTCACAAATCACACCAAACAGCTCCCTCTTTAACCAACAGAACCAGGAAGAACAAGCCATGCATAACATTATTCGATGAACTAACAAGAGGAGTTCAGTGAGAAGAAGGAAAAGAAATACATCTATATACTCAAGGTAGTAATGCACAAATAGGCATAAAAGAGTTGACAAAAGTATTCTGAAGCCTTGTGCTTCCCTTTGTGGCATTTAAATAGCTAGATAAATAGCTAGCGATCGCACAAATATCTCAAAAGTTAAAATTTCCATGACATTTTTACTACAGGCATTAGAAATATAAACTGTTAAGTACATAAAGATAACCTTTACACCTGACTATTGACTTTTAATTATGTAGTAAGTTTCATAAGCCGTAGTATACTATATCCCCTTTATACATTAAAATACTTCTATCAAAATATCAAATATTGTAAGGCACTCTGCTGTAAATAATTTTTTTGAAATGCAAGTGCAAAAAAATTCCTCAGCACAAAATCAGTCACATTTCTGACACTGCAGGGCTTCTTATCTTACTCATTTCTATATATTTCAATGATTTAACATAGCAATATTAGAATAGAATTCAGAGACAATCTTCATAGCACAGTACATTTTTATTTCCCAATAAAGATTCTTCATTTGTTGCATTCCCCAGGATTCTGCTGTCTGGCCATGACCTATTCTGTGACTTCTGAGTGGTTTTGTTTTCCCATAGCTAATTCACCACCATTTTTGTACTTTTCAGCAAAATAATCAGAGTCAAAGCTCACGGACAAATCTAGAGGACTCACATAAACATTTCCACTGTCTATTGTGACCTTGTGAATCCTTTGTTTGACTCCTTTTGATTGCCACTTTGGTGTTGGTGATGGCTCCAGAGGATTTATTCCTTCGTACAATCCTTCTCCTGTTTCCAAGGTAATTTTAAACTTATGCCAAGGACAAACAATACATGCTTGTCCATCAATATCCTGCAGGAAGAAGATGAAGAAAAGATAGCAAGTAATCCTCTGGGACAAAAGGTATGTTTGGTAATTTGGCTGTATGGCTGTCTGAGATTATATGTATATGACTGGTTTTTTTCCTATGTAATATTCAGATAAAAGCATTACAAAATTTCCTTTGGAGTTTTCACATGACTCTATACCTCTGCATTATTTTTATTTTGCTTACATACCTCTATTTCTCCAAGATATAAAGGGCCTCCTTCATCTGAAACACGGCAGAATACGATATTAATTTATGCAGCAGATTTTATGCTTAATTCTAACAACATGCAGATCATGCAGGCAAATATCTTACGGTAGCAGCGAGAATCCAGAGCATGAAATTTCCCCTCATGGTAGAAAACAACAATTTCTCTACCATTGATTTTGGCTGTTATTCTTTGGGACTTCTTTATGTCCTCTTCTTTGCCAATGAGTATAAGACAATCTGGCTCCATTTCAGCTCCTCGTGTGCTTGAGCTGTGTGAATCCACATCCTTAAAACACGTGGAAAAACAAATGATAAGGTCACTTGTAAAGAAATTCCCATTTATATTTCATGTGAGGAGAGGGAGAAAAGGTTTCAGCGAATGACTATCAACTTGCAGAGGTAGAAAAGTGCAAAAGCTTGGTTCAGTTAGTATGTTCAGTTAGTGTGTGCACTAACAGAACTGACAGGACAAAGAAAAACAGCTGCTGGAAACCAGATACCTCAAAGCTCAGGCAAGATAAACTCTCAATCACTATTTGTTTACACCTAATCCACTTTTGGTCCTCAAAATCCACATGAAACAAATATAAGGATGGCAAATGTAAAATACTATACAGTACAGGTATGCCACAGGTAACATTTACATGTAAATCCATTACTTTTACATAATATTATGGCTAGAAATATAAAGTTATTTAAATCAATAAAATATTATTCTGCAAAGGAAAGAAAACATTTTTTATTGAGAAGCTGTATTCAGCCTGACATTTCTAGCAAAGGTTCCTGCCTTTCCTTCCCTTCCTTTACATATTTCAAACATGTAACTGACTTTCCCTCTCACAAGAGAGAATATAAGCAGTTTTATGAAAGCAACCTTCCCATTAAATTTGCTTACAATTAGCTACTGTGTTCCAGTTCTTCCCGAATTCCCAATACAACCTTGCTTCCACAGAAAAATAAAGCTAAAACAGGTATTTATAAACACAGAAAGGGGAACCATGGGCAGGGGGAGGAGGGGGTATCTCTGGCTGCAGGGGGATGCACTGTACCTTTGGTCCATACCAGATTGCAATGGAGATGAGAAAGCAGATGAAGAAATGAAGGCTGAGGATGATGAGGTCCAGCATTACCTCCCTTCACGGTCTGTCACCACTGCCGTGCCTTATTCCTATATATCACTTGGTGCTTCTCAGACCCTCTTTAAGTACAAGCAGGAAGCAATGGGGCCAGGCCCTGGAGCACCCTATGACAGGACTTTACAGGTTCAATGCATCAGCAACCGCCTCTGCCAGGGCTGATAAGAGCCAGGGACATGCTGGGGCTGGCCTGATAAGAGAAGAGCAGAGCTTCCAATTCCCCCTGTTGCTGTCCTCACTGTGAGCCCAGTACTGCTGCCTGCTCCCAAAACCCTGCTCAGAGCCGCACATAGCCATGTGAGGATCCTGGCTATCCTCAAGATCAACAAATGCAAGTTTCCCCATAAGCCACCATGCTGGGAAGACCAGTTTAAGTGCCAGTGTGGCATTTCCAAGACCAGTGGTTAACTGATCTGATCTTAACTGCTCAGACCAACTCCCTGCTTTTCAGTTTAAGGAACTGCCATCCAGTCTTATCCAGAAAGTGAAATGTCACTGCCAGACTCACAGGATGATCCAGTAAGGCATTCACACTTAGTTTTTTCAAGAGATAAGCAAGTTAACCACAGGAGCCAGAGTAGGAAATTCCCAGTTTTTGCTATCAGCATTTGGCTGTCTCTCCCTATAAACTTTCCAAATTGGCAAAGATACTAAGATGCAGAAGCCTATAATTAAAACCTCACTTATTAAGATGCCTCTAAAAAACCCTGTGTATATAAATGCGTGCATCTCTAGAAAGAAGAAACACACACATATGTATTTGTGTACACACATATCTGTTTATATGTATTATAACACACCTAACTTCCAGCTCATTTAGCAATGACTTCTTACACTTAGCTTGGAAATTGCACAAATAAATTATCCGGGCTCCCATTCTGAACCTTGGCTGAGACCATTAGCAGCATGGCCTAAATTATGCAAGCAATCAGTAGCCAAGAAGTTTCTTTCACAGCTGATACTCAAAGGCTTATCTACCAACAAATGTAGATGTCGTGGTTTGACATGGAAAAAGAATTTTTCCGGAAGGAAGAGGTCAGTTTGGATATTGACCAATTGAAGGTGGACACGCCTCTGAGAACACAGAGGGGTTAAAAGCAGAATTCCCAGGAGAACTCGCTCTCTTTGGTTCTGGTCAGCCACAGTGCAGCCTGTCCCCTGCCCGGCCGTGGCTGGTGGGGAGGGGAAAGGCCCATGGACTGATTGAGGTGGGCCAAGGGTGGAGGGACTGGAACCGGGCTGGCCCCTGCAGATGGAAGGGTGGAGAAATCTGGGATGTCTCTGTTCCCCTCCAGAGTGTCTCTCTCTCAAGATCAGCAGTTCACCGCAGGGAAGGAGAAGAGCGAGGGGGGGGCCCACAAGGTGCCCAGCTGCCTGTGGGAGCCGGAGAATCCGGGCAGAGAGCCAGCCAGGGAGTCGGGACTTTTAACCCTTCCTGAGAAATGAAAGCTTTGTGAAATTTTTCTCCTCCTCAGTTTGAAAGAGAGGAAGAGAGACAGCTTGGACCCTGGGATGTTATAAGGAGAAATTCTAGGTGGGAGAAGATGAGGAGTGGCTTTTTGGCTGGACTTTTTTCCTTGTTGGCCACAAACTGAACCAATTTTTCTCCTTCAAGAGAGACTGTATTTTAGGAGGATGCCAGTGAGCCAAGAGACCTGCTTCAGCTGGGAAAAGACAGAAGTGGAGCGAACAGAGAAAAGTTAGGGGGTTTGTGGTGGTGCCCCCTGTCTTCAAAGAAGGAGAAGAGAAGAAGATCTCTGTTCTTGGACCCTCGGCCCCAGGGGAAAATGGGGGGAACTGTGGTCACAAAAAATGAAAAACTGAACTGTTGTTTTTTTCCCACTCTTGGCAGGGCATCCTTGAAAGGCAAAATCCTAAAAGCAGTCTGCCTGTCCAGGCACTGGTGGTGAGAGCACTGTGCATAGAAAGGAGAAGGGTCACCATGGCAAGCTTTTCTCTGGGCGGTGCCATGTGTGACATGGAAACACAGGATGTTCCAGCTGTGTTTCTTGGGGGTTCTGTGGCACAGGAGAGACTCCTGTTCCCTCAATGGACTGAGTATTGATTGTCTGGAGGGTGGAAACCTGATTGGAGTCCAGATTGTGTCTCATTGTGGTTTGTTGGAGTTGGGTGGTGGGAGGAGGAATGCTTTGCAAGATTTTCATTTTGATCTTCGTGTGTGTGGTTTTTTTCCCCTTGCTTTTTTTCTTTTATAGTAGTAGCTTAATAAAGTTTTTTTCTGTTATTAAGCTTGGGCCTGCTTTACTCTGTTCTCGATTCCATTTCACAGCATTCAATTGAGAGATTGCATATTCATGGGGGCACTGGCATTGTGCCAGAGTCAAACCATGACAAGTAGACTAAGGACTACATTGGCACATCAGGGGCCCTCCAAAAGAAAACCCTCAAGGCAACTTTCTGCCCTTTAAAAATATGAAAGGGTCACATCACCTCCTCACAGATCCCAAGACAGAATCCTGAACCTTCGGAGCAACTTGAGTTGTGGAAGCGAGCACACTTCAGTTAGTAAGAGAAAAGTTTATTTCAAGGTTTATGCAGAGTAAGTTAGCCTTCTAACAGCTTTTCCTGATATTTTCTTAAGAGTTTGGCTGCTTTAATGTTTTCTGAGTCACTCCAGACAGCATGGATGGAATTGTTCCTGCTGCCAAGTGCCACCTGAGGGGAACAGCCAAGAGGTTTGTGGGCAGCGTACGCATTCCTTCTCCAGCTGGAAACAGAGCTATATTTGTGAATTGTGGCAATTCACTGCTGTACCCTGCTCTGAATAATTTTCCCCTATTTTGGATAAAAGGAAAAATATCCCTGCTGTGGGGCACATTTTATTTTATTATTTATTTAATTTAAATTATTTATTTTATTTATTCCCTTCTATATTTCCATGTCAAACTTAAAGAAGCGGGTAATGTCAACAGGATGACAGTTGCTACAAATATTGCCCAGACATTATTCTCATTCAGAACCCGAGCTTTTGTTACCATTACAAAGTCTTACCAATATTTTGGTCATATTTGTGGATTTTGGGATATTTCATTCAGGAATAAAATTTGCCAGTCTGAGATTATATTTTTGGTCGTATTGCTGCTGTTGGGTATTTTTTGGTAGTTGCTATTGTTTAAACCCACCAGAAGCCTATGCTTGTGACCATTTCAGTTCAAGCAGCTGGTGCAATTCTTGCATTAGTTAATTAATGAGCTGCACAGACTGATAGGAGATGGTAACAGGCACACTGCAATGGGATGTATATGTCTAAAACCTGCCCTGCTTATGGCAAAAGGTTTCTAAAACATTATAATAGTTATTCCTGCCTGGTGTGTTTTAAAGTAGAGCAATGAAGTCCCTTGCTCTGTATCCTCCTCATTTAGCTCTATTGCTGTTCATAAGATTTTTAACTACACTCACTGAACCCGCTGATTTTTTTCTTTTTTTCGTCATTTTCACATTACAAATAAACCCTATACATTTCTGTGATGCGAGATCTGTGTAGTCAGGTAAGAGCAACGTTTACAGCTGTGATGCTTACAGCTGGTATCAATTGTGTTATCAAAGCCCTCAGCACACTGATGACAGCTATGTATACAAAAACAATTGACAAACCAAAGCAGGTGGCATGAAAAGCTCGGTAGCTGCTTTTTAAGTAATAATGGTGAAGCATAAACCACCCCCACCCTGGGCAGAAAGGGTCTGTAAAGAATATTCACAAGGCACTTGTGCCAGCCTCCAACCCTTGTGCAGGATTACATCTACTTTGGCCATTTCTGAGAAATATTTTGAACTTGATCCCAGTGGCAGGGTGTAGGTAGCTTGGTAGGAAGTTTTCATGTTTAAATTCTTGGAGTTCTTCACTTTTTTCCTCCAAATTGCTCATCAGAAGAGGCCTGCCTAAAAATCAAAACAATTTCTTCTTCCTGCTCTTGGTGGCAGCATTTTCCAGGCTGTGAAGGCTTGGCCACTGCAGAGGACTCCTCAAGGTTCCTCTGACAGCTGATACCTAATACAATTCACAGGTCCCTTGTTCATATTATTTTCCTCCAAATGCCCTCATCTTTTTATGATCCTTCTTAAAAGATAAAGTCAAAAAAGCAGAATCAATACCCTGAGTATTCACTGCAGTTAATAAAACAGCTGCCTCTTTTATCTTACAAACACCACTCTTTTAAATCATACCCACACATCATACATTTCCTTTTTCACCACATCATGTAGTTGGTTAATGCTCTGTTTCAATTTCTCTAAAATTTCCAGGTGTATTGCACTTTTTTTTGAACTTAAAAAATGCAGCCTAGACAGTTTTCGTTCACCATTTTAGTGTTTTTTCCTTTCCTTTTTGTTTTGACTTCAAACTTTGATTATTTTACCCGATTGATTTCAAATATTTTCTCCAGCTAATCAAGACTCCTTTGGATTTTAGCCTATTCTCAGGAGGACCGGTAGCTCCTCCAGGATGCATATTGTCAGGTTTAATAATATAAAAGTGCACACTCCTGCATTCAATTACTTCCCAAAAAAACCCCAAACAGCACTCTATTGAATCCTTGAAGAGAAATTATATTATTTGGAAAAAAGGCACAGAGTAAAGAACAAGAGTTTTAAAACTTACCATGTATATAGGTACTTGATATAAATAGTTGGAAGACAAAGCTACTCAGATTTTATATCCTATTTACAACTGGATAACCAGCTCAAAATATTTGAGAAGAGACAAGCAGATAAATCTTTTGTTCTACTTTTAGAAAATCAAAGTGAAACAATACAGGATTTTTCACTGGCTTTCACTGCCACAAGTGCAGTTTTATCTCCTATTCCATGTTCTCTCCAGAAACTACAGTTTACACACAACAGTTCTGAAAGGGCAAGTTTTGCAGTCTGTATTGCAAAGAATGTTTTCTTGAGTAGTAGCATAAAAGATCTCAGATAAATCTTCAACAATGACTCATCTAATGTTAGTTTCAATAAGATTCGTCTTCTACATGTTTTATCACAGGTCACTTCAAAAATTTACTATTAATATTAATTTCCATGTGTGTTTAGTAATTCAATGTCAGTCTTATTTCTTTAATTCTCTGTCTTATAATGAA